ATTAATGTTTCCGTTTGACACAAACAGGAGGACTTGCTTCTAAATCGTGCACTAAAGATGATTGGAGGAAACATCTCTATTGCAGTTGATATACTGGAGACCAGAACAAAAGCAATGTATAACATCAAAACCAACCATCTGAACTATTAGCATTGTTGCTTTACTATTTTTTCGTGGTTGAGTCTCCTTCAAAAAATTTAGTTTGATTTTAGAAAATTTTGCTTCTGCAGTCTTGTCTTGCCACCAACGCGTTCAGTAGATGGAGATGGCAGAGGCGAAGGCTATTTTTGTGTTGTTGTTGCTGGTTTAGGGATCGGTTTGTGAAGAAGAGGGAGAAGAGAGGGGGAAAGGGAAATGCAGGAGAGGGGGTAACTCTTTTCTCTGACAAAAATGGAGTGAAGAAAGGAATTATGATCAGTAAGGATATGGTTATCTTACATAACGGTCTCTATTCTGTTTGAATTGAGCTTGGGAGGCAGTGATAAGGACGAGCTGCAACCAATTCACTGTGATCATGTCTTATTTCAAGTTAGAAGGTAGTTTCAGTATAAGGATTGTTTAATTTGACAAGTTGTTTCGTCCATGATTCTTGGTAGTTTCAGTGCCATTCTAGCCATTGTTTAGTCTGTAATTTTTGAGAATTGATGTGCGAGTAATGACTTTCACTTAGCTTCAACTATTATGTGTGTATTTATTGGCATGTGATAGAAATCTCTTTTCCTTTTCTTTGAATTCAGTTTCATACTCTAATTGTATCATTTGTACATAGGCAAATCATGCTCGAGATGACAACTCGCTGATAAGGCTGGTGCAAGAAACGGATCCATCATTAGAATTCATACCGACAACGGGGAGGGATGCCCAGGACTAATTCCATGATGATTGATGATGGTATAATAAATACTGCAGTCTACATCAACACCAATTTCTAGGCCTAAGTAAAGTTATTCAAACCAGAACTCTGCTTAGCGCTAAAAATTTCCCTCACCCAACCTTGATCCTGTTTGACCCACTTCTGAAGAGTCAAGATATATGAATATGACTAATCCTCTCCGTTCGTATTTTTTTATTGACTCTTTCTGACCCTTTAGGTTGGGGCGGGTCGGGAAGAATCGGATTAGTGGGTCGGTCCTAATCAAGTGGAATCCCAATCCCTTCACTCTCACTTGCTTTCTCTCCTATTCCACAAGTGGGTAACATACAGTAATCCGGCCAATGGGCCGGGTAATAGGCTAGTTTTATTATATATGTCCAAGAGATCAATTAATTAGAAAAACAAAATCCTAAATCTCCTCTGGCGCCTGCTTCCTCGCCGCCTGCTTCCTCTGCTCCTCCGCCGCCAATAACAAATCATCTACTAGCAACCTCTCCTTGAACGCACCTAACTGAAGCAGCCACCGCATCATACCAACTTCTCCAGCTCCAAAAACCTTGAAACCACCGACCTCGAAATCCTCACGTCCTGGATCGCCACCGCCAGGTTCTTCGACAAGCTCTCCAGCAACCTCCACGCCTCCGCCAGCACCATCATCGCCTCTACCATGTTCTTGTCCCCTGCATTGTCCCCGTCAGAGGGCACCTCCACCCTTCCGTCGTCCTCTCATCCCCCACCGCCGCCGGAGGCAGGTTATCGTTTGATTCCGCCGCCGTCGTCACCGCCGAGCAAGACAGAAGGAACAAACAGCAAGAGATTGTCAATTCGTGAGATGGCGGAAGGAAACAGGGGAGGAAGAGGGGTTGAGGCGTAGGGTTTGGAAAGGGGAAGAGGATTGGAAAGAAGGGAGGTGGATGGGGGTTTGGCGGCGGAGGAAGCAGGCGTCAGGGGAGAGTTAGTTTAGGGTTTTGTTTTTTCTAATTAATTTCTCTCTTAGAAATAAGTAATAAAATAATTAAAATTGAAATTAGGATTAAATGAGGTTCAATTGGGTCATTTCTCAGTCTATTTAATGGTCACTTAACGGGTAATTAGATGGAGGGGTAAACTTGTTACGATTTAATATTAGAAAGGTATGTTTATGCAAAAATATAGTTGAGGGGTACATTTGTTAATTTACCAAAGTATAGGGGTACAAAATGCTATTAACCCTTGCATATGTAAGTAATAAGTATAGATAAAATCAATAGATATCTAAAGAGTACATTATTTTATGAAAAATAAATATAATGTCAATCATCTTTCTATATAATCTAAATTGTCGCTAGCCTAACTATTTGGTGTCACTATCGTTACGGTAATTTGTTCGGATTCCTTTTGTTGCACTAGTTGAACATCCTCCTCCTCCTTCTGTTTTGAAGAGACTTGTTCTGTTGCCAGATTTTCTTCAATTGCTTTAGGAATAGGTACTTGATCAGCAGACGATTGGCCGTCACCGCCGGTTGTATTATTCTCGCCGGAAGTCCAGAATATGTAGCCGACAAAACACAGATAGAAGAGAACCGAGCCCCAAAGCGGTGTCCAATAAATCAAACTCTCCGCCACGATCGCCCAGAAGACATCTCCGAAATAGACATCCATAAAAACGAATCCGTGTTTTGTTCGAACGCAGACCAATATCGTCAGTGCTACCAATAACTGATACACCAAAGAATGGTCTTGATGAGGCTGAGGGAAATGCTTAGCAAGCATTGCAGCTTGTAGAACAACCATCTCCAGGATGATTTTCCGAGCAGATCCCAGGCGAGGCAGCTCATGTGGGAAACACCAAGGTATGAATGAAAAAAGACTGACGAGTTCAACTGCAAGAGCAATCGCATAACAAGCACCGGTTCCCAGCTTCGACTCGAGATTGATCGTTCTCATAAGTGCAATAACGGACCATGTGTCCCCAAGCACCCCCAGAATCAGCCAAGGTGCCAAAAACAGAGCCGAAACAATTTCTGGGTGTATATCTTCATCTCCACCAAACACTGACCACACTTAGCTTGTTATATATTAGTGGACAGAAATTAAGTGGAGGAAAATATAGGGAAATCATTGGATTGCAGTACTTACCCGCAAATGTATATGCAAATCGTGAGTTTCCTGGTAACACACAAAAAAAAAAGGGAATTAATTTGGTTGATTGAGGAGGACGAAATTCCATAAGAATTGAAGAATAGTGCATGGTTCGTAGAACAAAAGATATATTAGTGGTATAACAATAGTTCAATAAATAGTTTACACGTATAATAATATTGTTGTAAACATCTAACATCAGAATTATAGTCGTATAGTAGTTGCTGGTAAACCGTGGCTCGTTATGCTATCACGGTTACTAAGATATCTCAAAAAGGGAAGAAAATATAGCCTCAATGAAATACACGAAGAGACCCCATGTTAATAAGAAAAGACACTATTATGATGATGAGACCAAATGTGTTGGGTTAGTCGTCGGGTTACGTTGTATGGGTTGGGGTTTAGTGGGTCTAGCATATTAGTAGTTAGTATGGGTTACCTATGAAGTTGGGTTATTTGTTTTGGGTTATAAGTGTGCGGGCTTTGTGGTTAATAGCCGATTAGGAGTCTTGTTCTAGTTGCGGCCGAGTTGGCTAGAGTAGTAGTAGGGTTTGGGGTTAGCTAGGGTTACGTATTAGGTTTAGTCACTTATATATTGCAATCACGGCATTAGTCCGATTTATCAATCAAATAATAAACCTAAAAGTCATTTCACACTCTACGTTGTTCTCTCGCTTGTGAGTTACAAGCAAAACCCTCGAGCAGTGGGAAACTATTCATCATATGATCACTAGTTTAGAGTCATATGTATAGTAATTGTTGGTATCATGTTGTAGGGTAGTTCAACCACATTAAGGAGATATTTCAAGAACGGATGAAAACCTAGCCTGCCCTCCTCAATGAAACACACAACGGGAACTCAAGTTACCAAGAAAATACGTTATGATCGCTAGCTACGTATGGTAACTGCTGATATAACGTAGAGTTGCTAGCTCAACCACATTAACAAGATATTTCAAAAAGAAAAAGAAAATAAAAACTAAGTTCGATTCAACAGACAAAGAGAACTCTATTGGGTACGCGAGGAAGGCAAACATGAAACTCAAACTTACCATGTTTATTGTTTGCAGGGGAAAGCGGAACCGTGTTATCGGTTTGTCAAATGGAGGAAGAAGAAGCCATGTCGATCAGAAGTTAGAAAAAGAGCAAGGAGAAGTAGTTCTCATCACATCATACCAACGCGTGCGTGCGTGTATATGAATAGGAGGAGAGTTGGTTTCGGAGAAGAAAAAGGATTAGTGAATCCGAAACAAGTATTGGTGGCTAACTAAACCACAATCCATATTGATTTCATTGAAGCAAGAATTCTACTATACCGTACCCTTGCTGCTATCCATAAATAACAGGTGATTGCCGGTTCTCTTAAGTTTTTTGTTTTCTTTATTTTTTTATTGACAAGTGCCGCTACTTCTCTTCACTTTGTTTTCTTTGTACTTTTTTTTGCCATTGTTCCATGAAAAGAATATCAAGCAGAATCATGGTCTCAAAGTTTCAATTATATGCTATTTTTAATTTGTTTTAATTAGTTTATTTATGGTGCTCCAAATATTTATAGAAGTTAGTGGCTTAGTGTTAATACATAAGGATGTTTATTTTTTTGGTAAGAAACAGAGCGCTAGGGGCGCTCTAACCCTTTAATTAATGATAGTTCGCTGGGTCGGGATCCCAATAGTGTCAAAATACAACCAATGCCGCAAGGTAGGACTCGGGACATCAAACAAATGAACTCCTATAGGTAAAGAATGGCCAACAGACGCCAAATAATCCGCAACATAGTTGCCTTCACGAAAAACATGCACGAGCTGGATCTCCCAGTCTCTAGCCAACATCACTCGGATTGAGGCTATCAAGGTGTAATGTGGGTTATGGGAATCCGCATCCTTGAGCAGATTAATTGTCGTTGTCAAGTCTGTTTGTAGTATCACTTTCCGTAGTCCCTCCTCCCAGGCCATCCGCAACCCATGAGCTATACCTCCCAACTCTGCATGGGTTATCGATCCTCCACCTAGATTGGCAGCAAATGCCTTGATGAATCTCCCATCACACCCCCTAAGCACTCCACCTGCAGCAGTACTCTTCTGAGATAAAACAACTGAACCATCAGTATTTAAACAACACCAGCCTGTCGGAGGGCGGTCCCAACTGATCATGCTGCTGCGGCTTCCCCCACTACTGCTCGTGACTGCACTCGCCGATTTGTAAGCTTGGCGGGTCTGATCATATAGCAGGCGCACTTGGTAAGCTAGTTGATTGGCTGGCGCTAGCTTTCCTTCAAAAACCATAGTATTTCTGTTCTTCCAAAGCTGCCAGCACAGTATAGCAAACATGGAAGCTTCAACCACACTACTCTTGTCGCCAAGATAATGCATCACCCACTTGTCCACATCCCCTTCATTAAACATTGCATCAGGTTCACCCTCAAGGAAAAGTGACCAAACTAGCCGAGCATAGGGGCAATCCCTTATAACATGTATCGCTGTCTCCATCTCACCCCCGCAGATTTTACAGCCCTCCGAAGAAGCCAAGTGACGACAAAAGCGTTCTGAATTAGTAAGAAGTTTTTGGTGCAGTACTAACCAGAAAAAGGTGTGAGTGCGCTGGGGTCCTTCAATGCGCCAAACACTCCTCCACTTCGAATGATGGTGTGGGTCTTCATCTTCCCCACGAACAAGATCATAAGCTGTATGGAGCGTAAAACGCCCTGAGTTTGAGAAGCGCCACACTGGGATATCATCTTCTGCCGATTGCGGGATTGGGTGTAGCTGCACTTGTAGAGCTATCTCTTCGGGGAGAAAGGCACGTATAAAGTCCATGTTCCAGCTTCCATTCAATGTCATCTCGGCCACAGTCAACCGTTGTGCTTCACTCGGGAGGCTGGCCGCAAACTCCACTAGAGGCGGCCCATCAAACAACCATCTATCCGTCCAGAACATTGTCTGCATGCCACTCTGGATGTTCCACATTAGTCCCACATTCTTGGAAAAGAACACTCTTGATTTTGGGCGGCTAATTTGCTGACACGAAGCCGCGGAAAACTCCTCTAAGCACTTCATAATCACATGTACCTGCTCCATGGAAGCTTCAGTGAAGAGAATTAAATCGTCAGCAAAAAAGAGGTGAGATAGGTGGGGTCCCGGTGACGACAACTTGATAGGTTTCCACTCTCCCCTATCCACAGCAGCCGAGATCAAGTGACCCAACCTTTCCATACATAGAGTGAAGATATATGGAGATAGTGGGCATCCTTGTCGCAGTCCTCTGGTCGCGTGAAAAGCTTCTGTAAGTCCGCCATTCCACTGGAGCTACATGCTGGCGGAAGTTATACACTGCATAGTGAAGTCAATAAAGCTCTGGGGCACTCCGACTGCATCTAAGGTATCATGAACAAAGCTCCATTTAATTCGATCATACGCCTTGGCCAGATCAATCTTCAGGACCATCCACCCCTTCCGACCCTGCTTTGCTCGCATCGAGTGAATGACTTCCTGCAAAACACATATATTGTCAGTTATATGTCTTCCCGGGACAAAGCTCGTCTGTGTCTCATGCACAAGCTCTGGCATCAGGGGTTTGATCCTTTCTGCCAAACATTTAGTCATTATCTTGTAGGTCACGTTGCAGAGACTGATGGGCCGAAACTGCCCAATCAAGGTCGCCCTCTGAATTTTTGGGATGAGTGCAACAATCGTCTCATTCACCACTCCAATCCGCGTCGGGTCGCTCCAACAATTTTGGATGAAATCAATTACTGCCGACCCTGCGATTTCCCAACACCGCTGATAGAACAACGGATTCAGGCCATCCTTGCCTGGTGCCTTCAGCGGACCCATCGCCTTGACCGCATGCCAAATCTCCTCCACCGTGAAATTCGTGTCTAGCTTCTGTACTAAATGAGCTGGGATGGGTTCGAAAGCAGCCAGCAGGCTACTTATCGGCGCGCCGTCATCCGTATAGAGTGTAGTGAAGAACGCTCGTGCCAGCTCAAGAAGCATCACTTGATCTTCGATCCACTCACCCGCTTCATTCTTCAAAGCCACCACTCTATTTCGTCGCCTGCGTTGGATCGCCCTTGCATGGAAGTACTTAGTGTTTCGATCAACCGATATGATCCAATCTAGGTGTGAATTTTGGCACCAAAGAAGATCTTCTTGTAGGAGAACAGTTTCTAGCTCCTCCCTAGTCTCTTTAAGGGCTGCATTCTCGGAGTCTCCCCCATACCTTCTCTCCAATCGTTCGATTTTTGCCAGCAGAGAGCTTTTCCTTCTCATAATATTTCCAAAAGTCTCGATATTCCATTGCTTTGATTCGGCTGCAAAAGATTCAATAGAAGATACCAAATCCGTTCCTCGGCTCCAAGCATTAAGTGCCATGTCCCCAAAGCCCTCATGTGTTAACCATGCCCCCAAAAATTTGAGGTTTGGGTCCAAAAGCCTGGTACATCGGAGTAAGCTTAATGAGCAAAGGGCGGTGGTCACTTTTAACACGCGGTAGGTGGGCCACAGAAGTGTCCGGAAAGGCAGTTGACCATGCAGAGTTGGCGAGTCCTCGGTCCAGCCTCTCCCTCGTCCCTGTTTTAAACCATGTAAAAGGCGGTCCTGTGAAACCCAAATCTAGGAGACCCGCATCCAGAATACAGTCCTGAAACTCATGAGCACGACTCGCGTCGAAAGGGGCTCCTCCCATCTTATCAGATGGTTGGAGTATCGAGTTGAAGTCTCCTGCTAGCAGCCAAGGATCCGTCATACCCTCCGCAATTCCCCGGATCGCTTGCCACAACTCGCGACACTGAACCAGAGCCGGATTTGCATAGACAGCAGTAAGAAACCAACAGTCTCTCTCACTGGTAGTTACTTGGGCGTGGATAAACTGCGATGAACGATCAACCTCAGTTACTGTTGCCTGCCCCGAGTCCCATGCCAGCCAAATGCCTCCCGCAAAACCTTGAGCATCAACCACAAGATGTTTATCATACCCCAGGTCTTCAACAACTTTTACTGCCCTATCCCCACTTATTCTCGCTCTATAATAATCACTATGCTGGGACGATATTTCCTCCGATATTCACGAAATACGCGCAAGAAGCGTCTGCTTCCTGCCCCCCTACAATTCCATGTAAAGATACTAGACATAATTACTAATGGAAATGTAGGCCCCGTCTGGGATCTCGGTTACGAGGTGGGAGGGGGCACCTCATCGCTGAGGTCTCCCACCGACGTCACACTTGTCATTATCTCAGGTATTGCCTCCGCCCCTCCTCCTGTTTGTATGTGAGGTGGATCCGGGGCCTTGGTTGTTGCTTAGGTCCCGTACCTAACGTAGCCTGGGTCATTCCACTATCCACTGCATCCGCCATGAAGATGTCTCCCACTACCATTTCTCCCTGCGTTGCTAATACGGTTGTTTGGCATGGATTATCTTCAAGTGGCCCGGTCGGTTTCGCTTCTGCCTTCTTCATGTTTCCCCCTACCGGTTGAGGTATTTTCTGCACAATGCGGACCGTAGTCTCAGTATGTCCCTGGTTACTCTCTTTCGAACCGGTCTCTTTGTTCCCTTGCTTACTCTGACTTGGTTTCTCTATTTGTTTGGCTTTGCGACCTGCCACATGAGTTATTGGGGCACTGGTTGCTTGTGTACTACCTCCCTGATCGCGGCTCTCCACTGTTTCCATTAGGTCCTCAGTGTCAAGGGCTGCGAACCTAGACCCTTCTTGCTTATTGCTAGGTCGAGGGTGACCCATTCCCTGTCCTTTGCTCGGCCTCTCGTTACCAGCAACTGGCTCTTTCCGGGTACGCGGTCTTTTCTTCGCTATCATCCACTCCCCATACAGAGCTTCCGGGGCTTTTGACACTTGGGGCACCTCTTCAACCACCACCTCTGGTTCCTTCATCTCCGGTGGGCTCTGGCAGGAGCATCAGTTGCATTCGGAGTATGTGCCACACTTAAGACAGATTTTCTCGAGGCCTTCATACTGTATAAAATACTTTTTCCCTTTAATCGTAAATTGAGACAATAACGGTCGCGTAATGTCAACTTGAACACAAACGCGAGCATAGTCACTCCTAGCTCCACAACTCGTTGCTTGATCAACTCGAATTGGTTTACCAATACGACTCCCAATCTTCATCACTGCGACTTGGTGAAAGTAATGAATTGGGATATCTAGCAGGCGTGCCCAGACTAACGTCGATGATATTTCATGATCATAAGGATCGAAATCCTCAGACCAAGGGTGTACCGTTAGGTAGTTATCACCCACCATCCAGGGACCACCGGTAACTGCCCTTTCATAATCAATGCCACTCGTAAATCTAACGAGAAAGTAACCGTTCTTCACTGAGGTAACTTGGAGTGTCCCCGCTTTTGCCCAGAGGCCAACCAAACGTTTTGCCATCAGCGTATACGAGACCGACCTTCCCAATGCTTTCACCACCAGTGCGGACCGCCATTCTCTGCAGAACATCCTCTCCTCAGCATTTGTGAAATAAATCTTTGGGCATTTGGGGTCTTCCTCTCCATTAAACCCTTCGTCAAGACCCTCTCCCCTCATGGCATCCGCAACGTCTTCGGAGTCCGAGTCTGCAACGTACCACACACCCATGCGTACAGTGTCACTAAATAGTCGTCTCGCCGCCCCTCCTCCTGGTGCCCAAGCAGAGGGCTTTGTTGCATTTGCCATATCCTGGTTCTTCTCACCGTTCTCTGTTTCATCAAAAGTCTCATCATGCATATCATCATCACGGGGGAATAAAACAGTTTGCTTTGCCTTTTTCTTTGTCTGTTGTGCTTCCCGATCAACTTTAGGGTTCGGCGAAGACGACTCCGTTGGAGGCCTACGCTGTCCTATCAAAGCATCAGTATTCGGGGAGTTACCAGAGCCTCCTCCGGCCAGCGGCGTGCCCACCGCCGGCATGGGTTTGCGGAAACCCTAGCTGCTGCGACGGATGTGAAAACCCTCTCGCTCCTATTTTCTCGGAGCAAAAATCAATAGCTGCTGACTTTTTTCTTAATTACATACATAGGGATGTTTATGTATGGGTAAACCGTCAAATTATAATTATTTACTTTACATAAATTTTAATTATGATTCGATCCGTTGACCCAATCCGATCCGTCCAAAAAATAGAAAGCTTTATAAGTCGAAATCCGAATGACCCGAACCCAATTAACTCGTGATTTTTGGGTTAGTTGGGTGGGTTAGCGGGTTGACCCGTTAGACTCGTTCCATTTCATATGTCACTCCAAAAATGATAAAATCACTTATATAGTGAGATATTTATAAAAATTCACAATGATTTGAAAGACATGTTTGGAATTATGGATAATCAAATATCATGTGTTTCTTGTAGTAGTATTAGTCTTGTGATTGTTTTCTGACAATTTGTGCAATTATATTTCATTTCATTAGCATGAAAAGATTTGAGAATATGTTAATTGACATGTTTTAGCCTTTAGGTAAACTGTTGTCATGCATATGTAAATATTTGTGTTCTTTAACAACATATGAAGCATGTTTGATATTGTTTATGAGAGAGCTCAATAGGGATGTTAATGAGCTGAGCCGAACCGAGCTTTGCTTTTTTCAGATTTGGTTCATTTATAAATAAGCCGAACTCGAGCTCGACTCGTTTAGAACGAGTTGAGTCGAGCTAAATACGAGTGAGCTCAATTATTGAATCTTGGCTCATCATTAAGATCAAAATTTTGGCTCGAGCTCATCCCTAAGATAATTTATGAATTAAATACCCTAATACTTATATGTCACATATGATACATGTGATTAATTGATCTTCATGTCATATATGAGACATATTTGCTCACATACTCAAATTATTAAACATCACATGAGGTGAAATATACAATTTAATAAATATATGCTTCATTAACAAACCAACCCATGAGATATAGATTGATTTTCTCATAAGTTGCAACAAAGTTGGCTCGCTAGTTAAACTGTTGAGACATCTCATGCGCTCAAATTGAGGTAGTTCATGAGTCGAACTCAACAAGTCACCTAATCGAGCTAGTTCACGAGCCTCGCGAGCTGAACAAGGCTAGAGCTTTTATTGAATCGAACGAGCTTTTATGGAATTGGAGATCGAGCCGTCATGAATAGCTCGACTCATTAACAGTCCTGGAGCTCATAACCCGAAACGACCTGTAACGCGACCCAAAACTTGATGAATTGGGTCAATATTTGACCCAAAATTACCCAACCGGCCCGATTGTCATATCTAGTAGCAAGAGCCAACTGTTGCTAGATGTTGGGAATTCTTTACCTATGTAGTTTCCATTCATCTTACTAATAACATTATGTATATCTAAATCATTTAGCTATAAGGATCATTAGTTGGATAAATTTATCACAGCCATTGTATGAATGGTTTGTAATTGTAGACTATACCATTAGACAAACAAATTATAGAGATTGTATTTTTTTCAATATAAATAATTAAATTATACTTTTAATTAAGAAACATAACATGCAGTTAGGGATGGCAATTTCGACCTGACCCATTTTACCCGACCTGTTTGATCTGTTTTGGGGCGGGTCCGACCCGCCCCGTAGGCGGGGCGGGGCGGGCATGGGTAGTCTCATCGACCCGACCTGCCCTGACCCGCCCCATTCTCGACCCGTTCTTGTCTAAATTACATGTAATCTTAGTCAAATTACTTAGAATTTTCTTTTTATTGCTTCATATTTTGGCTATAATAAAGTTGTAAATTAGTAAAAACCTCAATTTCTCCAATAATTTAACTACAATTGTCATAATATTGTTTGTTTTCTTAGTCTTATAATAAAAATAACGAATATTTCTAATGTTTTCATATAAATTGCATACCCATTGGGCCGACCTGCCCCGACCCGCGACCCGTGATCAATTACCCGACCTGCCACGGGGCGGGTCTGGGTACCAAGAAACCCGCCCCGGACCTGCCCCATCGCCATTCCTACATGCAGTGTCGGAGCCACGTTAGTGGTAGTAGTTATAAATATAGGTAAAATTACATGTAATATTTGTAAATGTTTTTAGATAGAGTAATTAGTAAGAAATTAATTTCTCCACTTACCATTAGGGGTGGAAGTTTGGTTTATGGTTTGCGGTTAATCCGCAAACCACACCGAACCGCACATGATTTGGTTAACCACTAACCGCAATTTGTGGTTAGTGGTTTAGTTGTGGTTAGCAAAGTGATGATTTTTGTGGTTAGTGGTTAACCACTAACCACAACGGTTAAACCGCAAACCACTAACCACAACGGTTAAACCGCACAAACCACAAATAACCACACTATCTCATAAACATTTAATTCACAACTTACCAAGCCCAGCAATTCTCACAGGCCATGTTCAAAGAAAAATGAGCATGTATGCCCATGTCCCATAAGCCCATCCTCGTTCTCACTCATGTCTATAAATTAGTTTATTATTTTAATTTATAAAAATTTCAAGTACTCAAAGTAAATAAGATAGAATAGAATGCAGCTTATAATGTTACTAACTTTCTTTTGGAACTAGTTTATGAAAAAAATATTTTAATGTAATCATGACTTTTTTTTTTTGTATATTACGGTTAAAAAGATGAACTGATTAATAGAAGGCAACAATGGTTTTGTTTAGTATATTCAAAAATGAATTTTTATGGTTAACCGCAATTAAACCGCACTGCACCGCAGTGGTTAGTGTTATCAGTGTTTTATGGTTGTGGTTAACCACAAAATATGGTGCGGTTAACCACAACCGCACCGCCTTCCACCCTTACTTACCACAGTTCAAATATCTTGAATTTATTTTCTCCCATTTGAATTTTTATTTTTTAGGATAATATACACTTAATTTTGTGAATACATTATGAAAAGATTTAAAGTTTTAAACTAGTACTATCATATTTAGTTTTGAGATTTTCAACCAAATCTGCAATTTTTTTTTCCTACGGGGTCCATATTAATTAAAAATAATGGAACAAAAGTACAAAACATAAAAACAAAATATTGCATGACCTTTATGAAAAGTATTGAATAATATTTTTAAATTATAAAAAATTGAAAATGCCTTTTGCTTGTTTCCACAATCCAGTAACATGAAATGGCAAAGACCTGACCGGCTATAGCCGGTATTATATAGACTGCACCGCTACAGTGACTGCATTAACAATTTAACATTGAAGACATAAACATTAATTAACAATACAGCTAAACTAGAACAACAAACCAGAACCACAACAGAACAGAGCCTCCAAATTATTATCTTAATATTTGTGGCACGACACATGTATACAAAATATTCAATAAAGAATTTGAAATTTACCATACGACTTGAGAACATATACCGACGTGAAAATGACACTGGTTCTTGGATGAGCTAGCTGTAGGCGTGTTCAAATAATTAGTATTGTAATTATCAAACTAAATCAGTCTAAATTTTATTAATTATGTACTAAAATTTTGGTTTAACCGTGATTCAACCATTTCTTTCTATTATTAAAACCGGCTACTATTTTGGGTTCGTTATCTAATATTTCTTATCTGACCCACCAGTAGGATATGGTTTCTCAAACACTATTCTATTGTTGTAAAGACTAAAAATATGGTGTTTCTGTTTGTTTAATTAATGGCCTGAATAATTACAAAAAAAAATCTCAGGTTCAAAATTGGTGCCGAAAAGCAATTGATCACTATTCGCTAATGGGTTTGACCCTTTGGGAACTGGAACTGTGTTTCAAATTAATTAGGGTAAATACAATATATTAGCCACAATTATTATGAAGTGGGAAATTATAGCCATAACTATGGAAATTCAAATTATTTGTCAAACGTTAACTATTTGTTAACAATTTCATTAGTAATACTGATTAAACTTTTATGTTTTAAAGTTATAAATTAAAAGCAGTACGACGTGGCTGTTGCTGTGGCCGACGACGTGACCTTCTCCGTTAAAAATTCAATAAAAGTAATGGACAGTTAGCCATATCTTGACTCGGAACAATAATTATGGCTAATAATTTGAATTTTCATAGTTGCGGCTATAATTCCCCGTTTCATAATAGTTGTGAGTAATATATTGTATTTACCCAATTAATTATATTAGCTTAATTGTTACCGTTATTTTGAGTATCCAAAAAAGTAAAGTAGAGTTGACAGTTGCAAAATATACAGAGTGGCACTATTAAAATGACACCCTAATTAATTGATTGCTGCATTGTTATTATAAGGACTTTCCGCGCTTAAAATTAGAATATCGGGCATGATCCCCTTTCCCATGAAAGTCAACTGGGCTTTATCTGTGGGCCTAATAAAAAGTCTGATGTTAACTGTTGAGGGCTGGAACCGCCAAGTTTTGGAGCTGAAGGCTCAAGCTGTACGTGGAAAGTGGAAAAAAAATAAGGGACTTAATGGACCAAATTACCCCTGACCGAAATTAAGTGGAAAGCTCCGATTTTTTAATGATAAAAAAGCTATAAAACTCCACCATTAAGTAATCTATTGACTAAGCGCATAAAGATAAATAATAAATGTAGGTATTATCAATAGAAAATGTGCATGCAAGAATCATAATAATCTTCCTTCCTCATTCATATATACAGTGGCGTAGCCAGAAACTCATCTAAGGTAGGTTCTACGTGAAGTTTTAGGAGGTGGGTTTCATATTCTAAAAACATTCTAAAGTACGCTCATCTTACAAATTATGAGGGAATGTCATTTTCAAAGTACACCGATAAATGATTTATAATTTCACCACTCATATGATTCTGAGGTGTCAAGTTGATCATTGCATTACGGGCTCTTTCAACACTTGATATGACAACAGCTCGTAGCAATAGACACCACTAAGTTTTGAGTTTTAAGTAGAGATCACAAAATATTAATTTTGGTAAAATTATTTACAATAATAGGAAGAACTCGTGTTCAATCCACGATTACGTAAAAAATTTTATTACTATATTTATGAGTTACTACTACATTTTGTAGCCAAAGTGTTGCAGATGACCTCCCTTGGCTCGCCAAGTGGCTTCGCCACTGCATATATAAGTAATAAGTATAAATAAAATCAATAGATATCTAAAGAGTAGATTATTTTATGAAAAATAAATATAATGTCAATCATCTTTCTATATAATCTAAATTGTCGCTAGCCTAACTATTTGGTGTCACTATCGTTACAGTAATTTGTTCGGATTCCTTTTGTTGCACTAGTTGAACATCCTCCTCCTCCTTCTGTTTTAAAGATACTTGTTCTGTTGCCAGATTTTCTTCAATTGCTTTAGGAATAGGTACTTGATCAGCAGACGATTGACCGCCACCGTCGGTTGTATTATTCTCGCCGGAAGTCCAGAATATGTAGCCGACAAAACACAGATAGAAGAGAACCGAGCCCCAAAGTGGTGTCCAATAAATCAAACTCTCCGCCACGATCGCCCAGAATATGTAGCATTTCGTACCCCTCTACTTTGATAAATTAATAAACGTACCCTCTACTAAATTTGTGCACGGACATACCCTTCTAATATTAAATTGTAACAAATTTACCCCTCCATCTAATTATCCATTAAGTGATCGTTAAATAGACCGAGTAATTACCCAATTGCCCCTCATTTAGTCATGGTTTCAGTTTTAACTATTTTATATTTTATTATATATGCCCAAGAGATCAATTAATTAAAAAAACAAAATCCTAAATCTCCTCTGGCGCCTGCTTCCTCGCCGCCTGCTTCCTCTGCTCCTCCGCCGCCAATAACAAATCATCTGCTAGCAACCTCTCCTTGAACGCACCTAACTGAAGCAGCCACCGCATCATACCAACTTCTCCAGCTCCAAAAAACCTTGAAACCACCAACCTCGAAATCCTCACGTCCTGGATCGCCACCGCCAGGTTCTTCGACAAGCTCTCCAGCAACCTCCACGCCTCCGCCAGCACCATCATCTCCTCTACCATGTTCTTGTCCCCTGCATTGTCCCCATCAGAGGGCACCTCCACGCTTCCGTCGTCCTCTCATCCCCCACCGCCGCCGGAGGCAGGTTATCGTTTGATTCCGCCGTCGTCGTCACCGCCGAGCAAGACAGAAGGAACAAACAGCGGGAGATTGTCAATTCGTGAGATGGCGGAAGGAAACCGGGGAGGAAGAGGGGTTTAGGCGTAGGGTTTGGAAAGGGGAAGAGGATTGGAAAGAAGGGAGGTGGATGGGGGTTTGGCGGCGGAGGAAGCAGGCGTCAGGGGAGAGTTAGTTTAGGGTTTTGTTTTTTCTAATTAATTTCTCTCTTAGAAATAAGTAATAAAATAATTAAAATTGAAATTAAGGATTAAATGAGGGTCAATTGGGTCATTTCTCAGTCTATTTAATGGTCACTTAACGGGTAATTAGATGGAGGGGTAAACTTGTTACGATTTAATATTAGAAAGGTATGTTTATGCAAAAATATAGTTGAGGGGTACATTTGTTAATTTACCAAAGTAGAGGGGTACAAAATGCTATTAACCCTTGCATATGTAAGTAATAAGTATAGATAAAATCAATAGATATCTAAAGAGTACATTATTTTATGAAAAATAAATATAATGTCAATCATCTTTCTATATAATCTAAATTGTCGCTAGCCTATCTATCTGGTGTCACTATCGTTACGGTAATTTGTTCGGATTCCTTTTGTTGCACTAGTTGAACATCCTCCTCCTCCTTCTGTTTTGAAGAGACTTGTTCTGTTGCCAGATTTTCTTCAATTGCTTTAGGAATAGGTACTTGATCAGCAGACGATTGGCCGTCACCGCCGGTTGTATTCTTCTCGCCGGAAGTCCAGAATATGTAGCCGACAAAACACAGATAGAAGAGAACCGAGCCCCAAAGTGGTGTCCAATAAATCAAACTCTCCGCCACGATCGCCCAGAAGACATCTCTGAAATAGACATCCATGAAAACGAATCCGTGTTTTGTTCGGACGCAGACCAATATCGTCAGTGCTACCAATAGCTGATACACCAAAGAATGGTCTTGATGAGGCTGAGGGAAATGCTTAGCAAGCATTGCAGCTTGTAGAACAACCATCTCCAGGATGATTTTCCGAGCAGATCCCAGGCGAGGCAGCTCATGTGGGAAACACCAAGGTATGAATGAAAAAAGACTGACGAGTTCAACTGCAAGAGCAATCGCATAATAAGCACCGGTTCCCAGCTTTGACTCAAGGTTGATCGTTCTCATGAATGCAATAACGGACCATGTGTCCCCAAGCACCCCCAGAATCAGCCAAGGTGCCAAAAACAGAGCCGAAACAATTTCTGGGTGTATATCTTCATCTCCACCAAACACTGAACACACTTAGCTTGTTATATATTAGTGGACAGAAATTAAGTAGAAAGCAAATAAAGTGGAGGAAAAAATATAGGGAAATCATTGGATTGCAGTACTTACCCGCAAATGTATATGCAAATCGTGAGTTTCCTGGTAACAAAAAAAAAAAAAAGGAATTAATTTGGTTGATTGAGGACGACGAAATTCCATAAGAATTGAAGAATAGTGCATGGTTCGTAGAACAAAAGATATATATTGGTATAACAATTACAATAGGTCAATAAATAGGATACACGTATAATATTGTTGTAAACATCAAACATCACAATTATAGTAGTATAGTAATTGCTGGTAATGGTATACCGTGGGTTGGTAGTTCAACCACGTTACGGAGATATTTCAAGAACGAATGAAAACCTAGCCTCATTGAAACACAGAACGAGAACTCAAATTAACAAGAAAATACGTTATGATCGCTAGCTTCGTATGGTAACTGCTGGTATAATGTGAATTGCTAGCTCAACCACATTACCAAGATATTTCAAAAGGAAAAAAGAAAAAAACCTAAGTTCGATTCAACAGCATGTTTAGTGAGGCGAGGAAAGCAAACATGAAACTTAAACTTACCATGTTTATTGTTTGCAGGGGAAAGCGGAACCGTGTTATCGGTTTGTCGAATGGAGGAAGAAGAAGCCATGTCGATCAGAAGTTAGAAGAAGAGCAAGGAGAAGTAGTTCTCATCACATCATAGCAACGCGTGCGTGTGTGTATATATGAATAGGAGGAGAGTTGGTTTCAGAGTTGGTTTCGGAGAAGAAAAAGGATTAGTGAATTCGAAAGAAGTATTGGTGGCTAACTAAACCACAATACATATTGATTTCATTGAAGACATAAACATTAATTAACAATAACAATACACCTAAACTAGAACAACAAACCAGAACCACAACAGAACGGAGCCTCCAAATACAAATCCAGCCCACCAGCATGGATCCAACCCACTACAATAAGATTACAAAAGTCCATGGACTTAAAATAATACTACAGCTACCCAAACGGCATGCCACCTAGCCCATCAGATGAGCAACCCAGCCGGCACAAGCATTGCCAAATTGTGTCCATAGTGGCAGTGGAACATCTTCCTCGGCTTCCCTCAATCCTTCTTCATCTGCGTTTAAACCCCTGGACTCCAAATAGAAACGCAAACCAGCAATGCTGAAGCAACCAACCATTAGAAGCCAAGGGTATGGAGAAGACGGGCCGAGGCGGGGATCAACGCATGATGGTGCTACAGCCATCGAAGGTGAAGGGGCAGCGGCAGGGGCAGATGGTGACAAACCGACACAATAACCTGCAATTGTGCCGTGGTGAAGGACTCTAATGATGTACGTGAGAAGGGAGATGAGAAGTCCATTCACCAAGTTGAAGTCAGTGGATGGACGAATGGCCAAAATGCAGGCTGTGAACATGCCAATAAGTGTAAGAATGAAGATCAAATAGCTCAGATCCGACTCTCCTAACCAAATATAGGAAGCACTACAAGCCACAACCGCCGCAAGACCGACTAGTTTGCCAAATGTCCCATATTTGCGCCTACACCAATTTTTCTTCCTAATCCAGTAGGCACAATAGAAAAAGATGACGATAAAGCCAAAGACAGCAACGGCAAGAAACAACCACCAAGGAGAACCTCTTTTCTTGAAGAACTTGGTGTAATAGAAAGTAGTGAGATGGATGATAAAGAAGGCAATGGTAATAAGCATCAGAACTAAGGTGTCGGGGACCCGGCTGAATAGCCAATAGAACAAAGAGAAAGATGGAGGGACGGGGAGCCTGTGGTACGAAGAATGGGGGGACAGCTTGATTGACGGAGGAGTTACGAGACGCGGGTGAGCAGCACCTTGATTATTCATGATTCTTTTTCAATTTGTTTCCGGTGAGAATGCTACTGCGAAGAGAAGCGAAGCAGAGCAGGAGAAGAGAAGTGGAGCGGGGTAAATTTTCATGCCCAAAACCATTGTTCAATTTATAGAAGAAGAAACCCATTTTCGCAAATGCAGAAACTCAAGTCTGGGTTATGACTTTGGCGCTGGGAAGAAACCAGGATACAAAACACAGAACCCCCCATTAAGCTCTGATCTGATGGGTGCAAAGAAGTTAATATATCCCTTGGTTTCCTAGAAATTGATAAAAAAGCCATTCAGAACACAAAAGAGCGAACTTCAAGAGGAAGTGCCTGCTTAATCCGTCGGATTATCAAGGGTATTCAAGAAACCAGAAAACTAAGAGCAGAACCCCATTTGTGCATGGAAGAAATTAGACCGAAAGTAAAGGGCTTTTCAAACAAAATTTAGACAGATCACATCAAAATTCATTCTCACCTCATTAATCAAGCCTCTGATCCCTGGGGAGGAGGAGACGAGACGAGACAGCCATCGGGTCCTTCTATTTTCAAGCGCCAACCATGGTAAATGCATAATTACTTTTGAGTTCCGGTGATTGACATTTAAGGAATGGAGTTTAACCATTAGGGGAAGAGAAGTAAAAAGAACTGAGAAGTGGGGAGTGATAACAAAGTCGGATTTGAACTAAGTTCTGGGACCTGGAGATGGAGACGGAAGAATCAAGAAGACGAAGAAGGTACTGGGAAATTGGGAAATTTTAGAGCAGATGTGATATTTGGGCCAAGAATTCGGCTCTTGCTCAAAACTTTCTATTTGGTCCATCTTTGCATCCCGCAATCGGTGCCACTAATTCAGAAGCAAATATGGTATTTGGGCCATCCGGTCAGCCCAATAATTACACACAAACTACCCACCCAAACTATTATCCGTCGGAGAGGATAATCGAGATTTTTTTTTTTCGCAAGAAGAGGAGTTAACAAAATATAAATTTAATAATGAGAGAAATTGAACTGAATGAGGGTCAGGGATCTAATCACATCACATAAATAATTATAGGATTATTTCCTAAAACTCCCCGATGGCGATGAGATAACCTCGGTTGGAATATTTGATTTTGAGTAGGAATTTTCAGTTGGTAGTAGAGGTGGCAATTAGGATCCAAATCCATGAATCCAATCCAATTCATCCACCAAATTATCCACCTAATCCAATCCATTTAAATCCAATCCATTTGATCCAAATCCAATTGGATTGGTGGATTCATGGATCAATCCATGGATCCAAATGGCAAATTACGATTTGGTACCTATATTTTTATATTTTACATTTTGATACCTAAAATTTATATTTTTATACGAAAAATATCATTGGAAAATTACATTTTGGTACCTAAAACTTTTCATTATGACATTCTAGTACCAAAACTTTTCAAATTTTACATTTTGGTCCAAGTCTTGGATGTCATTTGGATTCATGGATCAATCCACCAATTCATTTGATCCAATCCATGAATTCACCAATCCATTGGATCCAATCCATTTGATCCATGGATCCACCAATCCAATCCACGAATCCACGAATCCGATCCAATTGCCACCTCTAGTTGGTAGATATTTTGCAGAAACTAATTGACAAGTTTCTGAAGGTAAAATTGATTAGGGTGACATTTCCATATAAATTATCGTAGGTTGCAGCCAAGAAATTTCCGCGGAATTACATGGACATTTTAGTATGATATTGCGTTTTAGTAGCTTTTCTTTAATAATGATTAGAAATTTTTACCGTATTTGACTCTCTTGGAGATTATTATATGAATTCATTGTTTTCGTAGGACACATAGTTATTTGCTCTGTTATCAAGATCGAGTCGAACCGGTCGGTCCGACCAATAAAACCGTCACCCGGACACTAAATCGGATCGGATCAGTCAAAAAAACTCTGCGACTGAAAATGGAGGTTGGGAAGCGTTCAGAGCGGTTAACCTCTCGGACCGTTCAAACCGCCTGACCGGTTTTCAACATACAAGCCGTTAAAAAAAACTGTCCTTAATTACCTTGAGCCAAGCACAGATGAAAAGTGAGTTATTACAAAAATTAAATTTTATACCCGACCCAATGTATTGATTTCCTATTCCCGGACCCTCTTCGATTTGATTTCACATTTATTTTTTTCTCGGCCCAATGTATTGATTCCCTATTCTCGGACCCCCTTCAATTTGATTTCACATTTATTTTTTCTCGGGCACACAATCGTTTTCTTAATTGACCAATTCCCCGTGACTTTTAACTCTTTCCTCTTTTCTTTCTTCCTGCTTCCTCTATTTGCTTCCTTGTCTTTGATTTTAATGTTTTTCACTCTGTTTTACCAACTTTCAAGCTTTTCAAGCCATACTTGGCATTTCGCTCCCCTGTTCTAGGGTTTTTTGCTGGGATTTGCTCTCCTTAGGACCTGGGTAATGCATCTTGGGTCTTCTCTCATGATGGTCGGTTTATCAGCTTATGTGGTGAATCGATTCTCTGGTTTTCCCCTTCGTTCTTCCCAGGTGGTTGTTCTGCATCTAGGTGGCCGACGGAGGATGGATTGTAGTGTCTAGCCTTGCTGCTCGTGTATTCAGTTATTTGATCTAGGGATCTGGGTTCTTCTGCTTCCCTTGACCAAGTCTTGGAGCTTCGTCTTCCCCTGCCTCTTCAGCTAGGAGCATTTCGATCCTCATCTCTGTCCACCGTCATGTAATCTCTCACTCGTGATTCACTGTGTTGAGCGTCTTCGAGCGACTCCCAGGTGGAGGCTAATGACATTGTGTTCAATTGTTATGGACTTGGTCGGATCGGAAAAGCTTATTGTGCTTGGTGCTACTTTGTTTGTTTTGATTGCAAGAGAGCTTTCGGTGTTTACTGCTTTTGGTGCAAGTGTTTCAGATCCTTTGTTGGATGGCTCCTTCTGGGTTTTGTACTCTTCTTGATGTATCTCTAAAGCGCAGATTGAGCATCTATATGCTTATGTTTGTCTGTCCTTGTTCTATTTTTGGTTTGCTTTGTTGGTTTTCTTGTAATCGATCATTCAAAGTGCAATGCAAGTAATCCGTTTGTAAAAAAAAAAGTTCATAGAATACAGGCGATTGCTTCTTTTGCTTAGGAATTGACAACTTTTATATTTTGGTTAATTCTGAATCTTTTTGAATTTTGTGGTGGAATGTATTGAAAAAACATTCAATTTTAAAGGATAAGAAGGGGTAACAATTACCGAAAAATTGATCACTGATTGGGTTAATTAAATGTACAGATTATGGTGATTTTCAATGGGTTAAGTATTTATTTATATTCATGTGATTCAAAATGCTGGAGGAATTATGTGTGGAATTTTGGATCTTAAGTATAAAATGGAGAAATTTATAAAATTAAGATTCGTGTTCTATTACTTTATTTTGGGAACAATGTGATTCATGTGGGATTTGGCCTATATAACTATAGTAGCCATGTTTTAAATTTGTCTAAGAGTAATGAACTCTATTTTTAATTTATAGTGTAGTGTGTTGTTTTGCATGTGTTATTTATAAGGTATCGGTTCATTAGTGGGGTATTAACGGCTTAATACCGGTCAAACCAGTAAAGTGCGAGCCGTTCGCTATATCGGTCTATACTCCGGTTCGATTCTGACAACATTGATTATTTGAGTAGATTTCCTTTCTTCACTTTTTATCATCTACAACATATGTTGGTGGTTGAGGTGTCGTTACCTCAGACTCGGCCTAGAATTAATTCCAAGAAAATACAGCAAAAAAATGTGATTTCCTTGGATAAAGATAAGAGTGAGTATTTGGTGGGCAGCCTGTTCTTTTCAAGAGTAATGCTATGCAGATGTCTGGATTCCAAGAGGGACAGTTATCAGTAAGATACTTGGGACTTCCATTATTTTTTGGGAAGCTTTCTTCCACTGACTGTGACAAGCTGGTGGCCAAGATCACGCAAAAAATTTGGACCTGGCGTGCCAAGCAGTTGAGTTATGCAGGTCGCCTAGAGCTAATCAATTATGTCATAATGGGATTGCTGCAATTTTGGATGCAGGTCTTTCTTCTATCTAAGAAAATTCTCAAGAGAGTGTATACTTTCTACTCTAATTTTCTTTGGCATGGGGGAATGAAGGTAGAGCAAAAATTGGATGGGATAGATTAGCATGGCCGAAATTGGACGGAGGCCTTGGAATAAAGGATCTATTGGCTTGGAATAGAGCCTGTTCTATCAGGATGATTTGGCTACTAATTATGAAAAATGGAACTATTTGGGTTGCCTGGATGTGGTGTCATAAGGTGAAGCAAGATAGCATTTGGACTATGAATATTAGTCCTAGTAGCTCGTGGGCATGGCGAAGAGTTCTGAAAGTTAGGTCTCTACTTCTAGCTCATTTGACGATGTCTGGTACTACACCTTGTTGGGATGGAAAGTTGATGCATGTGTATAGAGTGTCTACAGTTTGGAATACTTTGAGAGCAAGATACCAGGAAGTGGATTGGCCTGGTCTAGTTTGGGGGAAATGCTACCTACCTAATAACAGTTTTCTTGCATGGCTCGTCTTGCTTGATGGCATTGTCACTCGAGATAAATTGTTAAAGTGGGTCAGGATAGCAAATGGATCTTGTTTGCTATGCCACTCCTCTATTGAAACCAAGGAGCATTTGTTTTTTCAGTGTAGTTTCTCAATGCAGGTGGTTACGTGTTGGAGAGATGTCCACCAGTTCTGCAGATCGAGTTGTCATGACACTGTGAATGCTGCAGTTGATTTATGTAGTGAGAAGACACCAGCTGGGAGGGTTGATGGACTTTTTTGGTGCACGTGTATCGCCTATGTGTGGCGCGGGCGGTGTAATAGACAACATCAATCACCACCCAGGGATGCTGCTACTATTAGTCTATTGATTCTCTCTGATTTATTGTATCTTGGTAGTGCAAGTTGTAGTCTGCAGTCAGATATTAGTATTGTTGGCCTTATTAGTTGACGTGGGTTGTGGGTGTAGGAATGTGGGGAGTTTTGGGAGTTTCATTCTTTCACAGGGATGCTCACCTCGAGCTTTTCTTTCGTTGTATTGGTTCCTATATATACAATGCATATAGTTTGGTAATACAAAACAAATGATTCACCGAATAAAAAGATAAGAGTGAGTAGGGAAGGAAGGGACGGGGGCTCGAATATATATCTATAATAAAGAGTTTTCTAAGCCGTAGTAGTTTTGACATGTGATTAGGGTTGATAATCGGGTCGGTCCGGTTATAATCGGAATCATTCAATCCCTTCTCGTTTAATCATTTTGTCCTTTCTGTTTGTCGTTAACCACATCATTTATATAAGTCGGTTAACCATAATTGTATAATCACTACTCGACCGTAAGCAAGTGATTTGACAAGATTATACCAAATTAACCAATCGGTAACCTAACCAACAAAAGACCTCCTCCTTTTTTCAATTGTGCATTTTTTTAGATTTTTTCCTTACATACGTATGTTTTTCTAATTTGTTAAAAAAATAAGTTAACATAGATGTCGTCAATCCATAATCAACACAATCCAACACGAGTATACAATAACACTATTCTACCTACGAATTTGATTAAAGAAACAGACAAGAATAAGAGACCCAACGACAACAACGTACTCAACTCATAAACTCCACCAAATTACATGGAAGCTTAAATGTTAGTGATTGTTGTCGAGCTACTGTGTTTAGTCCAACTTTCTACTGTGCTCCTTCTAAAACTCTTCCTTGAAAATTGAAATCATTCACGTTTGAATCTAAATCACTATTACAACTAGGGTAGGTCTTTTAGGCCTTCAAATAT